AAAATAAGACAAAATATTAAACTTAGTTATTTTACAGTCGCATTCGACAGCAATCATTAACAAATACAAAATATGCAGATTGTTATATGCGGAATTCAAGAAACAGGTTCCATATCTCGGATTGCTTTGCTAGGATGAAACGATAAGTGATGCAGATACAATATAAACGCCACTACGGTTAAGCCGTGAATATCTGTTTAAGTATGTTTTCTGGTTATTATTACTCGCATCTCTATTCCTCTTTTTCGTGCATAGCGAGGGAGGAGAGTTTATCTATCAGCTGTTTTATAAGTGATATCTTCAGCGTTCTGTTTCATTTTTTCTTCATTCTATCAATTAAAACGAACTCTGGTTTCCTTCTCAAAAGAAGAAAGAAGATCTCATGTAAATAAAATAGTTTTCTATTAATTTATTGCTAATGTTTGGTAAAAATGCTTAATAATAATCCATATTTTTTTCCCTTGGGCTGTCGCACCCAACACCCTACTTATATTTTGTTCATCTTAATAGCCCGCCTTATAAAAATAAATCTTAGCACTGACATAAATTATTGGCCTAAACTAAACATGTCTCATATGTGTCCATAGCACTATGCATATTTATTCGGGAGAATATCAAAATCACCGTTGCAATCGGACATGATTACAGACAAACTCAAGGTATTGCAAGCAGCTCCTTGAGGTTTGTATATTATTCAAGATCAGTCTATCTAATGTGTAATCTGTAAATAGAGACAGATAAGAGGTACTTGTAACTTGGAAAGATCACTGCTTTTTTCATGCTATTGACAAAGGGAATGTCCGTCTGCCCGCCCTTGAAAGAAAGTGATTCTCAGCTTCCAGGTAAAAAATACACCTTTCTTGGATTGTTGATTGCACACTCCCTAAGTCCTGAGGTTAAGTTTGTAATAAAACCTACACATTTTAGCTGAAAAACCCGAAAATATTTTGGTTTCACAAAATTACCGGTGCCTGAGATGGAGTCGAGGGCCAATAAATCATAGTCAGAAACAACACCAACCTGCAGAAACATCCATGAATTCTATCAACTGTTATACAATAATTGCTTATCTACATTACTAAGAGAATGTAGCAAATTGCATGGCTGCTCTTCCATGCAAACGACAACCGTACAAAATTGTAACATTGCCAACTTCCCATCATCATCAACCACCGGAAATCCAGTAATTCTTTTTTCCACAAGAGTCTCCAAAGCTGAGCGTAGACAATAACAGAATGATTTATTTTGAAATTATTTCAACAAATTAAGTGTCAGCAGTACCTTCATCGACAGTTGTTGTAAGCCCTACACATGCAAATGCTCTCTTCTTGTCATAAAATCACCTACAGTGTAAACTCCCTCGTGTCTGAAAAGTGGTATTAAATTTAGTCCCAGTGAAGAGTGTCTAAGATTTTGTGGATATAAGTGTTCGAATCTGTACTTTGTTGTGTATTTCTGTAGCACGATTTTTGGGTACAGTTGTTGGGTCTTACTTTATTCCTTTCTATTCAAGTAATTTCCAAAAGAGTGACATCCACATCAATATTCGAAGAAAACAATACATGTTTTAGATGGGGAAATCGTCTGT